CAATGCCAGTATGTCTATCAAATCAAATTCATTGGTTTGTAACATTCAAGCACATTTTTTCTTTCTCCCCTCATATGTGTAATTTTATTCTGAACTGTTTGAGAGTAAATTATGTAAAGTATCCCAGTTTGCCCTAAATATTTTATTGTGAATTTCCTAAGATCATCCCTGGTGTGGCCATATCATTATATCATACTCAGAATATTTAACAATGAGCCCATACTGTTGCCTAATACATGATTCAGTGGCTGCTCCTCTCAGAAGAAAGGCTCTACATTTAGCTGTGATGGCCCAACAGTCCTTTACTTTGGCCTTCGTCATATTGGCATTTTTGAAAAGTATAGGCCAGATGTTTTATAGCATCTCTTTCAGCCTGGGTTTGCAGCGTGGTTCCTTATGGTTAGATCTAGTGATGGTTTGGTTTGGTTTGGTTTGGTTTGGCTTGGCTTGGCTTGGCTTGGGTTGAGTTGGGTTTTGGCTTTTTGAGACAAAGCTTTTCTTTGTAGTGCAGGTTGGCCTTGAACCCACTATGTAGTCCAGGCTGGCCTCAAATTCATGACAGTCCTGCCTTCACCTCCTGAATTCTAGAATTACAGGGATACACCACCATGCCTGGATAGGGATTTGTTTTTGACAGAATTATGACACAGTGTTGTGCTGGAGACAGCTTGTACCCAGCGCCATGAGAGCCGATTATCACATCTCTTTCCAACCCCATGTTCTGTGAACTGATATTGGAGGCTTGGAATCAGCCATGGTGAGAGTGTTTTACACCATGGAAACCAGCAAGTGCTGCCAATCAGAGCTCCCTCTGCCCAGCTTTCCAGCTGTAGGGCTTTTGCATTTAGCAGCACAGCACCTTGTAGGGGTGAGTGTGTCCTTCTCAGTGCACCCCGTCCGAAGGCACGTGGTGCTGCTGTATCATGGGTGCTCCTCAGTACCTGGTCAAGGTGGTATCTATCAGATTCTCCAGTGAAGAGCTACAGTGTTCCCCTTTGTAATTAATAAGTAACATATGGCAAGATACACTGTGGTTATGGAAATATTCTGTCCTATTCTAATCAAACTTGGACTAAAGTTGTTGTTTATTGAAGGTTTTTGTGTCGAGCTCATGCATGAAGCCACGGATGTGATCGCCAAATGGCACTCACTCTTTTGTTAGTGTTGCTGCTTTTGTTCAGGTGCTTTGTTTTGAGTCAAGGTCTTGCTATGTAGTTTCGACTGGTGTTGAAGTCACTTTGTAGCTCAGGCTGGCCTCAAACTCAAGGCTATCCTCCTGCCTCAGCCTCCCAAGTGCTGGAATCTCAGCTGTGCGCCACCACACCCCATGGCACTGCATTCTTGTGGGGATTGCATGTCATCAATAAACCATTTGGGGTCATTTTTCCACAGTGTGGCCTGATTCCTGTTTTTACCAAAAGCATGCTTTTGGAAAATTTCTGGTAAAAATCTGCCCTGGAGTCATAGAAAGTTAACTAGGGCATGGTAGAATACACACATACCAACTCCCCACAATGAATGCAAGCATTATGTATGGCAAACATGTAATAAAAAAAATAAAAACTTTAAAAACTAGAGCATAGTGGGGTGGAAAGAACCCTGAACTGCAAGTCTGGGATCCCCACACACAGGGGATAAGATGGTCCCCTTCCTCTCCCTGGCACTCAGTGCTGTCATCTGTGACATAAGCAGATCATATTTCCCCCGAGCTCCCCTTCAGGTTCTAGCACTTTGTTTTACTTTGTTCTCTTCCTTCGGACTAGCTTTTAATTTACCTCATTAGCATGGTGTCTTGGTGTCCTGACAAAACAAGGACAAACATGAGCCGTCCAGCACGGATCCCGCACCCAGTGACCTGCTGACTGAATTCATAATGCTGCCCCAGAGGCTGCGCAGGTGCAGCCTGGGACCTGACGCTGCTGCGTCTTACCCAGGGCCTCCAGCCACCTCATCATCTCCCTCCTCTCCTCTTTGTTTGTCCTGATAGTCATGAAAGCCCACGACAGGATCTTCTTACATCACTCTTGCCGATCCTCTCTCGTGTATTAACTTGCCCAGGGCCTATAAGGTTACCTCTGTTGCCATGGCTGGAAGTAAAGAAATCTAGGGCAGCCTGCAGTTCCCAAGGAACATCTACCCTTCAGGCATGAAATCTTCATTAAATTTCACCAAATGAAATTGCTGAGAATCAGGGAAATAGTGTTATTCTGCACTGATGTACTGTTTCGTGAACAAGTCCCGTAATGCCAGCAATCAGCATTAGGATTCAGGATTTGCTGTCTTAGATTTCTAGAAAAATGGCCACTACATGGACGGTTAGGTAAGGGGGACAAAGGGCTTTTGAAAAATGTGGAGGCCGGGCATGGTGGCACATACCTGTAATCCTAGCACTCTGGAAGGCTGAGACAAGAGGATTGCATGTTTGAGCCCAGCCTGAGCAATTTAGCAACTTAGCAAGAACTTGTGTCAAAATAAAAAAAGTACAAAAGCACTGGGAATTTAGCTCAGCAGCGTAAGCCCCTGCGTTGCAAGCATATAGCCATGAGTTCGATCCCCGGCACCAAAAATAAATAAATAAGATAAAGTACGAAAGAAATGACAATGTAGCACAGTACAAAGGCCCTGGATTTGATCCCCAGAACTGGGGTGGAGGTCGGGGAGAGAATGTGGGGCATTGCTGAACTATCTATTCTCCTGTCTCCCTGGCGTGAGATTTTGAGAGACCCCTCCCGTTCACCCCACCTTCTCCCTGCTCTGACAGGCTGTGTTTGAACCAAGGGTGTGTTGGGGATTGGCACCCAGGCTTTCGGAGCTGTCTGAACCCGGTACTCTTCATGGTCCACCTGCTCATTTCAGCATTTTTAATGTTTAATACACCTCCCAAAGTAGAGAATTGTTTGGCAACTTCATGAAGCTTATCTGCTTCAATTTCTTTTATCAGTCTGCTTAACTTCCATTTACTAAATTGAAAAGTTGGCATCTAGAATATTCTTCAGATGATTCATCTAAAGCTCTGGGAGGGAAAGGGAGTCACTGGATGTCAAAGGAGTGGGGAGCCCTTTTCCAATTATTTAATCATCTTTAGTTTTCATTTTTAAATATCCTCAAATAATGCCCTTTTTCTCATCTTTAACTTGTACAGACAAATTTGACTTTAATCCTTGAATTGTGATTTGAAACTGAAAGATGCTTGTGAGTTCTTCTCTCTGCCCCCTCCCATGGTGTGTTTTTTTTTTCTCCTGACCTTCAGGAATTTAATCTCTAAAATTTCATCTGCTCGACATCCACCTCATCTGTTGGATTAAGTGCTTCATCATCTTTCACCAGATTAGAAAACCTGTCTCTTGCTGGACAAATAGAAACCCCTTCCTGCCTACAGTCAGCCAGGCTCCTCTGTGATTGGATAATCTGTTCCCAGAGATGATAGGCAAGTTTTGAATTCCAAGGCTGGGGTCTGACTACTTCAGAAACAAAAACTCTGTAGCAGATCCTCTGCCTCGGGTGTCAAAAGGCAGGTCTGTGTGCTGGGAGGTGAAAGTAATTTGTTTTCATTTTGCAAGATCAGGGAAACACAAGTAATTATCACTGCTAGCACTGTAGTTCCCTGGGCTTCTCTGTTTATTTTATGGCTTGTATAAGAATTATTATTAGTGGGATAGTTTTAAAGAACCCTGATCAAATCACTTAGAACCTGAGAAATAAGCTTAATCGTTTCAGAAGTCCTCACTGGCGATAGCTACCTCTTAAACCTCCCTACTGCATCTTCATTTAAAGCCACTTGTTTATCCACCTTGATGCACTTGGGATAACTACAGAATGCTCCAGCTCAGATTCACCAGGAAAAAGGGAACAAAAACAGAGAGAACAAGGCAATTTTCAGACCCAGGAGTCTCATGTGTTAAGGCTTCTGCATTTTCAAGAACAAATTATACTTGGACCTAGGCCAGGAGAGGAGCTTGGTGGAATTGTTTTTGTATGTGTAATTCTTACAATCTCACATGCCACCAAAAAATAATTATTTTTAAATAAAAATTCCAAGCCAGGTGTGGTGGCACAAGTTCATAACCTTAGCGTTCTGAGAGGCTGAGGCAGGAGGCTCACAAGTGTGAGCCCAGAGGTAATTTAGAAACTTAGGAGGCCCTGTCTCAAAAATTAAAAATAAAAATAAAGGCCTTAGGATGTAGCTCAGTGTTAAGGCTCGGTTTGATACTGCCCCTCCACCTCTATAAACTGAAGTATAGTTGTAATATTACATAATACAGTAATTATGTGCATATGTTACTGCATTTAAAGACAGATATTACTGATAGAGGCAACTCTCACTCACCTATGCCTCCCACTAGGCTACTGAAACAACATTCTGTTAACCAAGGCCCACAATTGCAATTTTTTTCCTTGGGAATCCTACAGAATGAAAAAATAAAACAATGAGAAAATGATAAATTAGAGTTCATCTGAATTCAGTGGAGAAAGCATCAGAATTTTAGTTTTTTAAGTATTTGCTGTGACTGATTTTTTCAGACTTCTCATTTTATCTAGAATAAACAAATATTAACTGAATAACATGTCATGGTCTCAGAAATGAATTTGTGTTTTAATAATATTTGTATCATGTGTACTGAACTTACCATGCTGAGACACAGAGAAAGACAATATTTCAGGAAAATCCATGACAAATAAATCTAGGACAATCTGTGTAGCTTGAAAATGAATATGAAGAGATTAAAAAAATTGTTCACTTAAAAATTGTCTGAATTTTCAGCCTCAGAGTCCTTTGTGTTTCTTTCCAAATAGCATTCTCTAAACAAAATTCCCCACAGTTTAAACACACACACACACACACACACACACACACACACACACTTCCCCTGCAATGGTATGATCTGCATTTAATCGTAAACTGGAGGTGCCAAGCTGTGACAGTTTCCTGCACTCCATAGCCATTTGCTCCAATCTGAGACAGCCCTGAGTTCAGTGACGTTTTCTTTCTCCCCCAACAGGGTCAAATTGAAGTGGACAGCGAGACCATCTTCAAGTTAGCAGCCCTTGTTTTGCAGGTAAGAATTAACCAAGTGCCTCCGGCCAGCTCCCTTTTGTTTGGTGTTTTTGTTAAGTGCCTGCAACCCTGAAACTTTTGCATGGGCCAGTGCCTGATGGATTTTTTAAGTTGTTTGCTAGTGGAAAATGTGAGCCACTGTCTTCACCTTTAAAAGAGACTTGTGTGCATGCACTAAAGATTATGGTATTGTATATTGCCAATCAAAATGAAATTTAGGCTGCTCTGGGGCAAAAAGAGTTAAGAACATATTCCTGGAAAAGAGCTCTGAGTTGCTTGAATTTGGGAAGCAGCAGTTGTTAGAACAGCTGTAAATTTCATTTAAATTTAGTAATTTCTGTATACACCTCCTTGAGCTTGTGTAGGACCTCTTTAATTTGTAAAGAAACTAGTAGCCAAAAAATAGTCTGTTTCTGTGCTATTTTAAAAAGAAAAAAGAAAACAAATAGTGTCTGTCAATATACCTATGTCGTGGTTTAAAAGGTCAGCATCCAGTCTACTAAGTAAGTATGCCCCTTGCATGGAAAAGCGTTTGTCAAGCAATCTTAGAAATGCAAAGAGAGAATAGTGATCTGTATTTTTTCATATATGTGTATTTGTCTCTTCTGCTAAAAATAAGAACTAATTTATGGACACTAGCATTTTCTGATCAGTGCTACATTTTTGTCCTTGGCCATAGGGAAAGTGTTCCTTACCTTCATTCTTTAATACTAAACTTGGGGACTTAATGATGGGAAAATAACCCAGAGTGAATAATTCATTTAGCTTAGCATAAATACATATTGATCATCTGTCTTTTTTTTTTTTTTTTCAGGAAGCCAAGGGAGATTATACCAGGTAATGATTTCTTTTCTGAGATTACTATGCAAAATAACTCTAGCTGAATCATTGTCTGTGTTATTTTAAATAACAATGGTTGCAAAATCAAAAGAAAGTAGATCCCACCCTGACTAAGATCTCTTCCCTCTTCAGATAAAGACCTATTCTTTCTGTGAATGAATCTAAGAATGAACCTTTCTTACAATTTTTCTAGCCAGATTGACAGTGAATTGTAATCAGAAGCTTTCCAAAGTTCTGTTTTCTATCATCTGTTAGTTAGCAAGATGAAGAATTCCATAAAACTTTCAGTAGCTTGTGTTGATTTTTTTTAAAGAAAACCTGTAATGGTACATGTGTCTAAAGAGTTGTAAGTATGCGCAAAAAGATTAAAACCATCAGCTGCTTAGTCAAGGGATTAATAGAGGCTTTCTTTTGCAGCTGCCTTGAAGGGGCCTCTCCCTGCATACACTTGACCTAACAGTTGTGTTGTTACTGAGACACTTTGGGTTTTAACTGCCTCAGGGCCACATCTTCCATCTTTATGTTTGAATTTGCCCTCTACCTGCTCCATTTTGTCCCTTAAATGTAGGAGATGGGAGTGGAGTAGTTGAAGTCCATTAAGGTGGATGGGAGGCCTCTGATTAGAAACAGGTCCCAGGCCAGTGACCCATTGAAAGCCTGGCTTCTATCGTGTTAATGTTTGACTCCTGGTAAACTTTACTCGTTACAGATCACCTAGTCCTGATTCCCAGCCCAGTCTTTGAACAATGTGCTCCTTAACAGACTGATAAAATAACGCCTTGCAACTTCCGGCCACTGAATAATAACTTGGAAAACCGCTTTTTCATTATATATCTGTATCTTTACCTGTATCTATAACTGAGTCTATGTCCATATCTGTATCTATATCTATATATCTATGTCCCCCTGAGGTTAAGAAATACTTTGAAAGATTAATAAAAATCAACAGATACCAATTTTTTTAAATTAAAAAAGTGAATACTTACTTTATGGAATAATGTATTATCTGATCCTAGAATTGCAAATAAAGACAATTTAATAAAGACAATTAAGGTCTTTAAAAGACAATCAAATAAAGACAACTAAGATCTTTAAATGATTAAAAAGAAAGAAAGAAAGAAACTGGTGGACACACCCCTGTAATCCCAGCCCTCTGCAAGGCTGAGGCTAAAGGATTGCAAATTCAACCTAAACTAGGTAATTTTGCAATTTAGTGATAACCTATCTCAAGATAAAAAATAATGCTCTGGGATGTAGTGAAGGGCCTGGATTGAGTTTTTAGTACTGGGGGGAAAAATTGCAAGAAAGGCACAGTGTGGGAGGATAAATCCATGTCTAGATTATTAGTAACATCTAGAGCTGTTGCATCCTGGTGTCACCTTTGTCCGAGGAGTCATGTTCCTAGGAATATGGGGAATGTGATCATTTTATGGAGAGATTCATAAGCCAGCTTCAAGCCCCAGAACTCATACTCTGCATTCATGGATTACTAACTTTTCTCCCCTGATTCCTCACTGTTAATTAGAGGCCTCACACCCTGAGCCTCAGTTTTCTCATCAATAAAATAGGACAATCCCATAGGACTATAGTAAGAATTAAATGTAACACATTGCCCACAGCAGTGCTTGTCATGAAATAAGCTCTTATTACATTTTGGCTATTATTATTATTAATGTAGAGTCATTATCTTCTATGCTTTTCATCCTAATCAAAATGCAGTCTGGGCTCTTGGCGACCTCTTGAAGAGACTTTTGAGCCCAAGGCAGTTCGGAAAAAGCTTAACAAGGTGTTGGGGGAAATGAGAGAAAAGCAAAGGTTAATTTAGAGCAGCTAAGTAGGGAAGATCCCTGTCTGAGGCAGGAAAAAGCTTCCAGGGCTCCTCCTGGAATAATCCAGACATTTTAGTCCCAGAACTTCAAGTTTGGTGAATTAATTCTGGCCAAGCCCAGTCCTGTTCTTTTCTGTAACCCCAGCTGCCTAGAAGTTTGCTGAGGGCCCTAGAAGTGTCCCACGCCATTGTGAAATTGTCCAACTACACTACGCAGTAGAGAAAGCATAAAACTAAGTCTTACACAAAGCAGCAACATCACTTTGAAGGAGCCATTCATCCTTTTGAGCCTCAGTTTCCTTGTCTGTAAATTGGGATTAATCAAAACAGTGATTCTGGCTGAGTGTGGTAGCACAGGCCTGTCACGCTAGTTACTCCAGAGGCTGAGGCAGAAGGATGACAAATTCCAACCCAGGCTGGGCAGTTGATCTACTTCGCAAGACACTGTCTCAAACTAAAAAAATTAAAAGGGCAGAAGATGTAGCTAAGCGCAAAGGCCCTGGGTTCAATCTTTAAGACCAAAAAAAGAAAATAAATGGAATTTGTGCATGTTGATGCACTAGGTAGCTCATACCTTTATCCCATATGTATCTGCTGAGGCCTAAAATGTTTGCACACCTGTCTAGGTCAGGAGGATGGTAAGATCTATACACGGCTGCTGGCTTCTGCCGGGGAACTGGACTTCGGTCCTGGACCACTTTGGGGGGCAATTCCCGTCACACTTTTCGGTTGGTTGCTGCAGCTCCTGGCTTGAGAACATCGTGATATTTTCTCACAGGCTGTGAGCATTGCTGGAATATGTCCTCAGGCAGCTTCTTAGACCAGGGCAGCGTGACTTTTCAGTGAAAATGGTGACTGAACACTTAGGTCAGGAGGCAGCTCTGGGGCACTCTTTGAGTCTGTCTCTCTCAGTGTCCGCATCTCCTGAGCCTGCCTGGCCAGTGTCACAGCCTCCGGACCATCCTTCAGCACCTCCCCTCGAAGGACATCACCATTCCTCTTGGCCCTTCTCTGGGGAACTCTTCCATCCCCCCAGCTTTTGTCCACTGTCCCGAAGCCCCCTCCTTTCCCACTTCCTCAGTCCTTGCCTTCCTCCCCTCGACCTGACTGGGAAGGCACACATGTGCACCTTGTCAGCACTGACACTTGAGTGCTCCTTACTTAAAATGTCCAGGCAGGGTGTGGTGGTGCATACTTGTGATCCCAGCACTCAAGAGGCTGAGGCAAGGGGACTGCTGCCAGTCTGAGCTACATAATTCAAGGCCAGCCTGAACTGCATAGTGAAACCTGTCTCAAAACTAAATAAAATAAAATAAGATGCCTGTGCCCAGTTCCAACCAATCCCACCACAATAATTATCACTCTCATGTAACACAATCATGGTTGTGCACAGTTCAAACCTGTGCAAAATAAGGCAGGAAGGAAAACAAGCAAGAGACTGTCCCTCCCTGCTTATCTCCCTCCCTCTGTCTCTCTGTCGCTCTCTCTTTTTCTCTCTCGTGGTGCAGGCTGGGCTCCAACTTGTGATCCTCCTGCTTCTGCCTCCCACAGTCTTGAGATTACGGGTATGCACCACCATACCCAACTTGGCTAGTTTTTAAAAGCATTGTAGGTCTGTTCTCATTCTGTTGCATGCTCCGACCTGCACAAACCCCTTGCTGCCAGGCTAAGGCGTAGATTTGACCGCTATTGTTTACTTCTGAAGCCTCTTAGTTTCTTGCAGCATCCACATACCTGCCATTCAACATCCCATCTTGGCATTCATGGATACTAGGTCCACAATCTGCTGCTCCTGCTCTTTATATCTGCTAATGCCTCTCTTCTTTTTCTCTTCCACATAACCTTTGCTATTTTGCCTTTATCTCTTTATTCAAGCTCTACTTCCTAGGATGGCTTTATGATTGTCTTGTGTTTATAGAGCTGGGGGTTGAACCCAGGGTCTTGTGCATGCTAGTCAAGTAGTCGGTCACTGAGTCTAGGATGCTTTTAAAAACTAGCCGAGCTGGACATGGTGGTGCACACCTGTAATCTCAACAGTGCGGGAGGCTGAGGCAGGAGGATCACAAGTTGGAGCCAACAGAGAAAAAGAGACACAAACAGACTGATTGACTGACTGACTGACTCCCTTGCCTATTCTGCTTCCTGACATGTTTCCTTGAGAGTATTTTAAGTCAACATTATCATAAGTGGTAGGAAATCCAGCTGTCTGAAAGTTAATTAAAGTAGTGGAGTGGGGCTCCCATTCTCTTTAAATAGCTAAGTCTGAATTTCAAGTTAGCCCTCACCCTGCAAAGATAAGAGCTACTGGAGAATTCCCAAAAGCTGACACAGGGAGAAGGAGCCTTTGTCACCAAGCCACCTGGCCAGCTGCAAGTGACTTTGCAAAAGCAGAAGGTTTTGTTTTAAGATCCTAGTTCACAAGTGATGACGTCCTTAGGTGCTACAGCTTATGAGAAAAAATTTGTGACCATTCTGCTGGGCTAGAATGAGAGTATAGGTCCCACCTTCAAATGGGAAGGAAGCATTGCCAATTTAGATCTGTGCTGTAAAAACACTGCGATTTCCCATGGGAAAGGAACTTCCCTGGGTGCCCTGAGAGTAGCTGACTGAAGTTTACCCCTCAGTTGTTATACCCCTGAAACACTTATGGCTCTAAAATATAATTTCATTTCCAGATCCTTCAAAGTGAGTTACAGTAGGAAAAACAGCAGCTCGGCAGGGCATGCTGGCACGTGTCTATAATCCCAGCACTCTGGAAAGTTGAGGCAGGAGGATCACAAAATTAACCCCGGCCTTGTCAGCTTAGTGAGTTTGTAAGATATTTCTCAAAATAAAAAAAGGGCTGGGCTGTAGCTCGGAGTGAAGACCCTGGGTTCTGTCCACAGTACAGCCAAGGAAGGAGGAAAGAGGGGAAAGGGGGGGGGGGGGAGAAAGGCAGACCCCAGGAGCCAGGTGCTCAGTACTGCATCGGCAGGGAGGGAAGAGTGCAGTGGAGCTTTAGAATTTGACTCTGTAGGTTCACATCCAGGCCCAGCCACTTGATAGACAACTGTGGGTAACTTCTCTACCCTCAGTGGACCAGGTTCGTCTCAGTTAACATTTCATCATTAACAGTGATGTTGTCATCATTGTTAATGCCTTCGATCCTCACAGCAACCCTGTGAACACA